GAGAACAAGTGATCAATAGAAAATCCTTTTATACTTTCTATTGTCATTTTTTGTTATCAAATGTTCTTCAATATTTCGCTGCTGTCAACATCTTCAGCAGTAAAAAGCCTGCCTCATCCCAGCAATTGCCACTCGATAACTTTTGACTGGATTTAGTTTAAGAACCTATCAATAATGTGAGTTCTACATTGATCAAAGTGAGTAACTTGTTTTATTCAAGATTTTTCAAGGTTTTCGATTTCAGAAGTTTTCCTGGAAAGATACGGCAATTCGAGCTATTCTTTGAATGAAACTCCTCTTTTACTTTCTTGTTTACACTTTTGTTATGTTTTCTTTCCGATCTTTTATAGTTCCAAATATACACACTCTCTCAGAAACAGAGGGTGCGTTTCATCTTCTGTCAAGAGTAGAAATCTCTTCTGTTTGCGGTATACTCAGAAAATCCTGAGTTTTCTTCATCACCTTATTTACAATTTTTATTTGTTTGTCTTCATTTGTTTGTCTTTTCATATACCCCTTCTCGTGGACTATTTCTCCTACTATTTTGTTAGATCTTTTGTTGATTGGATCCTTCATTCAAATGCCGATCAATATACTTTGGTACACCCGCACGTATTATTTTTGTTTTATGCTTTTTTACGTTCGGCAAGGGTAGTTTCTGATCTTACTCCAGGAACACCACCAAGATGAACTGGTAATTTGATATCGGTCTAACAAGGAGATCATTTACCCGAAGAATTAAAGAATATATGAAAAGTTTCTGGAATGTGAAGATCAACTCCACATTTGCAAACCATCTTGTGGCAGAGTTCAATAGTAACTATGACGTAATATTTTTGGAAGAGATAGGTTTGAAAGCAATCTTTCAGAATGCTTGGATATCAATGGATACAAGAATTATGAAAATTTTCTGAAAATTCACTGAATCACCAAATAGAATTGAAATCTTCTCGTCTCTTGAATATGTTTTTCAATGTGGAAGTTAGTAAATAGTTCATTATATGTCGATTGGATGAGTTGGTGAAATGTTTTCAATGATGTTTGAATTATTAATTAGTTCATACAAAAACACACTTTTGTCTATTTTCCACTATATTTCTTTTATTGTTGACCGGTTTCGGCTATTACACCATTTTCAAAACTAACTGATTACATTTAAATCTGAGTAATTTATACCTATGTTGCTTATTCTATCATAAATGATTTGATATACCTGATACCCGGTACCTGCGTTTCATATACGTGTAAAATCCATGAACATAACAAAGCTTTCAATATAATGTAGGTTTTGCGATCTGGATTATAGGTTCAGGAGAGGACTATTATTTAAATCAAGTTGTTCGTTGAGGACAATTGGGATTTTTCTTTGACCTGTTTATTTCCATAGATTCCAACAGATTCATCATTTTACTTTTTTCGCATGTGTGTAGGATCTTTAAATTATCTTTATCTATTTTATGTTTCGAATTTTGAAGATGTTCGTACATTAATGATTTTTTATCTGAAATGCCATGTTCGTGGTAGTACCAAAATTTCTCCCGGTTTGGCCTGTATATATGGCGGGGCATTCACCACATTCTATTCGATATATACCAGATCTCTTCCCTTTCTCTAATTTAGGTTTGGCATTAAATAATATGTTTCCTAAATTTCCGTTGGATGTGTAGGATGTTTGTAAATTGAATTTTGAGAGTTAATTTTTAATATTCTCGGAGATTCTACAAGCATAATTGAGAACGGGAAGAGATCTGATATATATCGAATAGAATGTGGTGAATGCCCCGCCATATATACAGGCCAAACTGGAAGAAATTTTGATACAAGGTACCACGAACATGTCATTTCAGATAAAAAATCATTAATGTACGAACATCTTCAAAATTCGAATCATAAAATAGATAAAGATAATTTAGAGATCCTACACACATGCGAAAAAGGGAAAATGATGAATCTGTTGGAATCTATGGAAATAAACAGGTCAAAGAAAAATCCCAATTCTATTGTCCTCAACGAACAACTTGATTTAAATAATAGTCCTCTCCTGAACCTATAACCCAGATCCCAAAACCTACATTATATTGAAAGCTTTGTTATGTTCATGGATTTTACAGATATATGAAACGCTGGTACCGGGTATCAGGTATATCAAATCATTTATGATAGAATAAGCAACATAGGTATAAATTACTCAGATTTAAATGTAATCAGTTAGTTTTGAAAATGGTGTAATAGCCGAAACCGGTCAACAATAAAGAAATATAGTGGAAAATAGACAAAAGTGTGTTTTTGTAGTGTTTACTCAGTGAACATGAATTCCCACAAAATAAACAAGTCGTCAATTGAAGAAGTGAATTAGTTCATACCTAGGCACAGGTCGAATTATTAGTCATTAAGAAGATAGAAGGTCATATGATTGAAATTGTTTCATGGCGCACTAATTATATAGAATTCATTCAGTACGAGCCCACCTGAGGCGAAGCTCTCTGGCTTACAGAGACAGGCTTGTCTGGCCATCAGTAGTACCATCAGTGCCACACCGTCAGAGGCCATGGAGATTCTTCTAGATTTACCTCCTCTTCACATTTTTCTGAAGAGAGACGCTAGATGGACTGCATATAGACTTGTGTACATTGCCAATTGCACAAATCAATTTAATGCAGAGTGCAACTGTTGGATGACACTGGTAGTCAGAGCATTCTGGAAATGACCTCTGACTTTATGCCTCCAACTGTCAACTGCAAACTGCCTCATAATGTACTGTTTCCGAATAGAGAGGAATCGATCCTCCGGGAGAAAGAAATATCAAGAGCTGATAGTTGTTGGTTTACAGATGGATCAAAAACACCTTCCGGTTTTGGTGCAGGTGTTTTCAGTGGCAGACCCAGAAAAGACATCTCAACCTGCTTAGGAACCTATGATTCAATAGCGTGAATTTCAAGCTGAAATTCACGCTATTGAATTGTGTGCGGAGAGAATGGAAGAATCCAACCTCATACACAAGTCAATAAAAATATTCTCTGACAGTCAAGCGGCGTTGGAAGCTTTTGACTCCTACCGAGCAACGTCTAAATTGGTAGCAAATTGCAAAAAAAAAATTCTCCTCGATAGGCAGACCTAACAGATTGTCTCTGGTCTGGATTCCTGGCCATACTGGCCTGAAACGAAATGGGGCTGCTGACTCCTTTGCAAAGGATGGTGCTGCAAGCAACTTCATCGAACCAGAATCTGTCATAGGCATCACTTTAGGCTTTGCCAAACGAACATTGAACACCTGGATGGCAAGAAAATTTATGTACTTTTGGCAGAATCTTCCAGGATTGGCTCACTCCAAGGCGTTTATTCATCCTCCGAAGCTTAATACCGAACAATTGTTAGACTGCAGTAGGGATGAACTGCGATGTCTAACAATATCTTACATGTCACTATCATTTGTATCATCATATGTAGAGACTTGGACTGTCGGAAGACAGTGTGTGTCGTCTCTGTTTGGAAAATGATGAAACAGCAGAGCACATACAGCGGAGCTTGCCCTGCTGAGGACTGATTCAGGTTTTAGAGTTCACCAGAGCCGTACTCTCTGATGTACCATCTGATATGAAAGATCACTCATCATACAAACTAATTGGCTTCTTTAAAGCTGGGTTTATTTGGTCGAGTGTGAATAGGTGTGAGCCATAATAAACCCTTGCAGGTTGCGGTGGAGGGTCGAATAGACCCACTCACTTTGTACCTAACCTGACCTATCATCTGAGGAAGCTATTAAAAAGCATGTATCGTGCTGCAGTTCATTAAACTGTTCAGATAATATATCTCAATGTAGTTTTAACTATGCACCAATACATTCGGAATCCTACAATTTATTATTCGATATAACCATATTTTTTCCACGTTATGAAACCGTGATTTGGACTTGAAGGACGTCCAGTATTTCCCCTTCTGATTTTTTGAAGAACTAGCGACCCGCCCCGGCTCCGCACGGGTGCAATGATGATACTGCATAAACATATAAACGCGTGCAATTGTTGGTAATCATGAAGTATTATAGGACAAAGCGCGACCTTCGACGCGCTAGTCATAGGCACGAGGCGCCGGCCTATCGGCCGGCACTGCCGCAACCGCTATGTCTCTGCATTTCGAATCTGAATCGAATTTGAATTACATGCTGTGAAGGGTCATACTGACCTGAATGAAATGAACAAATGAACAATGATGCTGTATTGCTTGAAATCGCTCCGTAAATGAGCCGTTATTTCTCGAGGATAAAAAATGGTTATTGTTAGTTATTCCTAAGACATATACCATCACTGACTTTTCTGTAGACCTTTTCAACGAGTACAATAGTGTAGTACATTTTTTTACCTATCTAATAGGGTTCGGCATTTGCAATTTGATAGCAAAAAAACTGTTGATTCACGATATTCAAAAAATCGGTTCTTGGTTCGTCACTTCACACACAGTGGAGGGGAATGTGAACAATAGTTCCCCATGAGATGAGTTCTTCGAACGTTGCAGCTGCTATTGTTGTATTAGATGAGTTTGGGGGTTTCACAAGGCAGAAGAAGAAAAGATCGCAATGGACCAAGCAGTAGCTTCGTGAACCATTGTGAGTAGCAATTTGAAATTTACCTCGATATGGGTGTTATTGAATTCATATGTCAGTGGCCGCAATTGCTGTATCTATATATTCTCTTTCCCGTCTGGATAATTCTTGGGTTTCATGTTGGAACTGAAATCTTATTGGTCTACAATACCATGTAGAGGAGCTTCTTGTGTTCTGCCAAACAAAAATTTTCTGTTATTCTAAGGTTTTTCCGATATCAGTCTATTAAGTAAAAGAGAGGAAATGAAAACATTTGCATCTCTGGCATTTGGATCACTGTCGAAATTTTGTTCATATTCTGCATGTCCTGATCCATCAAAACCCCACTTACAAATTAAAATCAATTTCTGAAAGGTCTTGGGTGTGAAGCGGTATGATTGAGAAGAGCTTGCAGTTGTACTTAGGCAGGAGTCTCTGTAACTATAATGCTGTCCTTATTAGGATAACATTCTTTTTTCGCCGCTTGGATCTTCTTATAGGATGGAAATCTCTCCTTATCTTGCTCTCTTATTATATTATTTTGGTGTCTTGTCAGTTGGGCTCCAACATACATAGCCAAAGTCTCTGCTCCTGTGAGTTGTCGCTTTTTGGGTACACTATAAGACTTGAAAGCAGTTTTAAACTTCTTCCCTCGCGTCGGAGTTGTTTGAGTGACATCCTTCACCACACTTGCTGCTGAAACTTGACCAGAACTTCGCAAACTCATATGAGAGGCGAAAGATAATTCTTCAGGCGAGAAGGTTTTTCTTAGGGACTCCGTTTTTTGGCATTTTGTTCTCTCTGAAGATGCGCTGAAAGAAATTTGAGTCTATCTGCTTTCTTAGATGAAATGATAAAATTCGGAAAACTTATTGAAGTATTCAGCCAGAGTTCTAACAACACAAATTTATGATGCAATGGTTTGACAACTCACACGGCTGAAAAAATAGCTATCGTCAAATCAAGTTGAACAGAACGCCCGCTAGAACTGGGCTCCAATACGTATTGTCTCGCATGCAGACACTGTTCAACTTTACAATCATGTGTTATTTGACTCCGATTGCTTGTTTTCCTTTTTGGAGTTCCTGCCAATAATTGGTAAATTTGGCCCCAGTGTGCTGCAGTGGATCCATTGATGGCGCAAGTATGTTGCTATAGCGCGGCCAGTAGGCAGTGGGTCATACTTCTACAATTATAAAGATTATTATAGTATTGTTCTCTTTGAAATCGTTGATGCTAACTTGGAATTCATTTTGGCTGATGTTAGTTGTAATGGGCGAGTGTCAGATGGAGGCGTTATTCAGGAAACAGCATTTTATCATCGCCTAAAAGAGGGGAAACTAAATTTACTAAGCATTCAAGAAACAAAGGAAAATTTGAATTTCGTTTTTGTTGCTGATGACGCCTTTGATTTGAGAAAAGATTTGCTAAAACCGTTCCCAATGAAAAAGTTAACACATGAGCAAAGAGTGTTCAATTACAGACTATCCCGAGCTAGGAGAGTCGTTGATAATGCCTTCGGCATATTAGCAACTCGCTTTAGAGTTTTTCACACCACAATCAGCTTTGAACCTTGTAAAGTAACAAATATTGTGCTCGCCTGTGTAGCTCTGCATAATTTCCTACTAGGAAAGTGTCGCGAAAATTACACACCTACTTCCATTTCAGATAGAGAGGATATGGAAATGGGAACGTTAGTCGAAGGAGAAAGGAGGAAAGATCCGCTGCCAGATCATGCATACCAGGTACTCAAAATAAAACTACGGAAGCCTACATATTTAGAAAAAGCAAGCAGGTTGCAGTATGTTAATTACTTTACAGGAAAAGGCCGTGTTGCATGGCAAGATAGAAGGGTACAAAACGTTGTGACAGAATAAACACTAAATAAAGTAAAAAAATAATATTAACTTACATGGCTTTCATTTTGAACATCTTCATCTTCTTCCTCATCCTCTTGCAAAGTAGTTGTTGATGTGCTGAGTGTCTCGTGATCAGCGATGAAAGAAATGAGGTCATAGTACCAAAATCGTGATTTGTAGTCATCTTCTGCCGCCGTGCCGGATTTCATTTTCAACCTCACTTTTCTAAATTCCCTACGGAAACTCTGCTTAATTGACTCGATTCTACTTTTCACGAAACTTAGGTTTGCAGTGGGAATCGTGTCGCGAGTCAACAGTAAGAGGTTGTTCAATGCTTCGTCTCGCTTGTTCCTGTCCCTGTATTTGTTACTTTTGACTTTCCATAAACATGGGAACTCTCTAGAAGCTTCAATGAAGTCCGTCAAAAAGGATGGGTTCATCTATCACCACAATTAGCCATTGTCTAGCAACGCAACCGACACAAAAATGAAGCTCTCCTGTTCACTGACAAAAATCAAACTGATGAACAACGGTTCCCCTCCTCTACACACAGACGAACTTGGTGCGCCCTGCCGGCGAACTGAACAAATGTTTTCCAACCCGATGGAAGATCAAGTTCGTGAGAAATTATGGCGATCTTGGTTCGTTAAACACCACACACAGGGGAACATATGACGAACATGTTTCGTGCGAACCAAGTTCGGCGAACCAGGTTCCCATGTGAGTAGGCCGCCATAGGGACAGACAGCGGAAAGCGACTTTGTTTTATACTATGCGGTGATTTACCTAGCACTAGTCAGAGAGACTTCCCTTCGCAATATAATCTTCTTGAATAAATTTTTATTTCTAATTTTACTAGAAATGTTGACATTATGATTTGAATTGGAGTCAATAATTGAAATACTTCAAAATTTTGAAATAGATGATGCTTTTAAAGTTTTTCTACACGATATTCGAAGATATACATAATGTTTTGATTTTGTATAAAGAGGCCGATTATACCTCTTTGAATATTTTGAAAAGTACGAGTATGTGAGATTCCTAACACATTGATTCATCAATGATGATCACTTATGCATATTTATTTGCACTACAAATTCACAATTGAAAATGTACGAACCGAAATTCGAAAGGATGAATTGAAAAGGGTATATTTTTAAAAGAGATTAATTTTTAGAATTCCTTTTTCTCTTTGGAAGATTCCTAGAAATAATCTTATTGTATGAAGATGGAGAAGAAGGAAGTCAAAACATTCCTTTTGGAAAATATACCCTCAGTTTCAACGAGCCTTGAATAACTACACTACAGTACTAGCTAAATTGACCAAAAACAGTAATGCAGTCATTTGGGTTTCGTCAACTAAAAATAAAGATCATATCGTATTTCACTAGTTCGGAATTCCATTGTCTACTATATAAAATGATTTGAAATCCCTGAAACAAGTAAAAAAGAATAATTAAAAAAGAATAGTTGAAATACTATCATTTCATTTCAGGTTTATTGTTGCTTAATATAATTGTTATTTTCAACTATTCTTTTTCAATTATTCTTTTTTACTTGTTTCAGGGATTTCAAATCATTTGATATAGTAGACAATGGAAGTCCGAACTAGTGAAATTCATCACGAAACATTGTCAATCACCTTCAAACAAATCATATCGTATTTGATATAGTGGTATTCTCGTAAAAGTTCCGTGTATTTACTGGAATATTGATATTTTTCGAATTGCTATGGTCTTTCTGATAATTATTAAACTTAAACATTTTCGTTTGTCTTATTTGAAGTTACTATTTCTTTTTCATGAAAGATCATTGTGAGGAGAACAACTGGCCATTAAATTGTAGAAAACGCTGTTGAAAGAACTCTTTAGTCTGAACGGTATATATTTGCCTTGAGTACGTCATAACATTTCCAGTTTCACAAAATTTCATAAGAAGTAGACATCGCAAAAAAAACACAAAATAAACTGTATTGACGTTGAAAAAGAAAATTTAAATATAATACCGCAGGATAAACGGGAAGATTGAATGAAATAAATGATCAAATATCATATCACATCACATAGATGTTTATTTTATTAATGAAGATATTACAATTTCATATAAGCAAATATAGTTTATGAATTACTTGTCGAACTGAAGTTCATCTGTTTTCATAGCTACTACTGAAAACCATCTCATTTCACCCTAGGAAAAAATATAATAGGCTGTGACATTCATAAATAATGACTAAATTCCTAAATAACGAAGGCATTCATTACATCAATTGCTCTTTATATGAATTAAAGTGAATTTTATATTCGTTGTAAAATGACAAAATTTATTCAAGATACACTCTCTGATGCTCGTGTAGACTGAATTGAATGATCTTTTCTGTAGAGTTCACCATTCGTTAACAATTATAAGCCATCTATCTTATCCAAAACCAGGTGGTAGTCTGTTATTTGAATTCTCTTTCTTATTAATATATTAACACCACAATTTATATACCCACCATCTGTTTCTAAGATTTCAAATCTGTTATGACAATAAAATGAAGACGGGAATGAATATGGCCAGTTTTTATAATTCATAAACCATCTTCCAAAGTGGGTTTTTCACCCAGCGTTGGTGGAGTCTAGGGGATTATTTCGGAATATATTACATTTTATAGCTTCCAATACGGAGAGTAAGAAAGAGGGAGAGAGAGAATATACTTTGTCATAGGAGTAATCTTGTGGACAAAGTTTCACTTAATCTATAATATAATATGTAAAAACAAAGTGCATTTGAATTGATCAATTTCCACTCAATACATATAATCAGTTTGTATATATAAAATCATATAAGTCATAAAGGATACTGGGAAATAATAAATGAGTTAAAATTTTTGTTTATTTGTATATATAAAAACATAAGTCGTACAGGATGCTGGTAAATAATGAACAAATATGATATTTTTTTTTTATTATCATTATATATAGTATTATAGTATGGTATATCATTTAAAAAAGCTTTCACAGACTTTACTTCTGTTACATTCTTTGGAAAGTGGTTGAAGATATTACAACTATTATAGACAATGGAATCCTTGTCAAATAATGGGTAGATGAGGATTGAAATGTGTTCGAATATTTCTTAATTAAACACACCGTTTCCATTATAAAGAGAAAAATCACTAATATAATTCTACGAGTGGTAAAGAGTAATATACAAGAGTATGTACTTTTCGATTTGCACTTACGACTCTTACGACTCGTTTTTGCAAAATTGAAATATTTTGTAGCAGATAACCACTACATACGCCCCAAAATGGAATTCCATATCTCAGGTGAGACTTTACCAGAGAAAAATAAACAGTCTCAGTTGCTGTTAAACCAAGTTCATTTGTGACTACTTTGACTGCATAAAAACCAGACGACAGTTCATTACACAAGGCATAAATATGGTCTTCAAAATTTAGTTCTCTATCAATATAAACTCCTAAAAATTTTAAGCTACTTTTGTTCCCAATGATGTAGTTCCCAATAGGTATATTGTGAAATTCAGATCTGACAGTTACTATGCTAGTTTTCGAAATATTTAGAGACAGACGATTTGAATCACACTCTTTACTTTCATCGTATCGATGGATACGATTTTAGTTAAATCATTTGCATTGTCCGATTGCCAAAAAATGGTAGTATCGTCTGCAAATAGTGTGAATTTTCCTGAGATATTTATACGTGTCAAATCGATGAGGTAGATGAGGAACACTGTTGGTCCTAGTATTGAACCTTGAGGCACACCATTACGTATTTTCCCAATTTCTAAGCGTTGGGTTGTTTCCACTATCTGGCTGCGATCAGACAAATATGAGGTGAACCAGCTCAGTATCACTCCTCTGAAGCCGTAGTAAGGAAGCTTCCGCAACAGTATTTCGTGATCCACACAGTCGAAAGCCTTCGAAAAATCATAAAATACTGCAACAGCAACATCGCCACTATTGATTTCAGTATGAACTTTTTCCATGAGTGAGAAAATTGCATCATTAGTGCCTTTGTCACTTTGAAAGCCAAACTTTAATAATGATTTTATGTTTCGACAGAAATACAGTTACCCTTATCTTCGACCAGATTTTCTAGAAGTGTTAAATGTTATCAGTAGCACGTTATTACTTTTTCCAGCTTAGGAAGATGTTCATTAAATTCAACATAAGCCCCATCAAATTCGATTAGAGTATCAAGATTAATTGTCTCATTATTGATGAACATAACCCCAAATTCAACAAGATTTAAAAAAGCTGAAAAATATCAAAGTTGAGTTAATTCAGATGTTTTGCAAAGAAGTGTATTTATGTAACATAATACGGTGAATATAATAAATGATCAACTCTATCTTCGAATGAAACTTTACACATTTTGTACCGAGAATGATTTCAATTTCATAATTTTCATCGAAACTGAAAAGAATTGTTCTCATGCATACAACGTTGAAGGTATGCAATAATGTTAACGAAATCTGGAATTCAATAAATAATTTTTTATTGACAGGAAGAATTACAACCTGTGTGCACATAACAAAACTGTGAAACGTTTTAAACGTGTCTAACTTTTGTATGCATTAACATATGCCTTAACTTATAATAGTATCTATATCTGACACAAAAATGTTTCACTTCCACAGTCGAACATCTATAATTTAGAAGAAATAGTTCATTAGAGAGTGCATAAACTTAGACTAGTCACATAGTATTTATGACATACTTTGCTATTTCCAAGTATTCAAGAGCATATTCGTTTTCCAGAGTATATTGAGCGAGACTGTTTTACGTCACAATCCTCGTAGCTCATTAAACATATCGAAGATTTCTCAATTTCAATTCAGGTTGGCTAACATTTGCTGACGTGAACAAGCAACTTTCAAAACAACTTTTTATTCATTTTTCAAAATTACGTTAGTAAATTGACGCACGTTATGATAACTGTCAGAGTTTTAGAGCTTCAGAAAAAAATTTTCGTTGAAATACGATAGAAATCCTCAATTCAAACTGACTATTCCTAACTAGCAAGGAAAAACAATTTTTTTGAAAAAATAGAAGTTCATGAACAAACCGTCAGCATCCAAAATGTCAAATTGACAATGAAGATGGTCGAACCCATCGATCAAATCACACATTACAAAAAAATTGATATATGCTTGAAATTAATTTATTTGCTCACTCTATAGTTTGATAACCAATTGATAAATGAAGCCCATTAAAATACCTCGACGTTTTACTGTTTCTTTCCGTCTACCGTCTCAGAAGGAATCTATCAGAATGAGCCACTAAAATGAATTATGTGTTCCTTTTGAAACATAACGTAAGTTTAAGATTACGAGACGGTAAACAAATCCGAAGTTAAGCTGATGTTTGATATTTGATCACTTCTTGGAAGGAAAGCGATCTATTTTTGATTTTAAAGCGTTGCCTAAAATATCT